CTTCGCATTCAATCTTTCTTCCCTGTCGGTAATGCTGAAGTAAAATAGTCTGGAATTTCTGATAAAAAAAGTCAATACCAGACGAATCCTCTTCAGAAATATACAAGCAAAAAATAAATAAATGGGGCAGTGGAGAACTTCAAGCTGAAAATAAACTCACCGCGATTTCAACTTCGCCAGAATATCCTCCACTGTCACGTGTCCACCAGTATTTGTGGGCCCTTAACTTCAAATTACGCTATGGAAAACTCTCGACCGATGAGAAAAGCTACGAAAAAAGACCAACCAATATTTCTCCCTCTAAAATTGTCTACTAAATTATCCATGTCAATATCCATGTCAGTCGCTTCCGGAATCTAAACAGCAGACTGAAAGAAAATTTATCAGATGTTGACGGGGGAAACAACATACAGCTAGCTCCTGTTGCCTTTGGCGGAAGAGACGAGTGGAGTTGTCGTAGTCGGCACGGATTTGCCCAATCTCGAAAAGAAAAGAGGTAAAAAAAGACATTGGCAAATATTTGATGAATAATGGAAGCAAGTATAATACCGTGTGACGGCTAACAGCTTTGAGAATTTGTTGCTTTTCCCATTCATCAGCCTCTTCATCGCCATCTCGTTCGTCTCCTTGCTCATGTTCGAGAAACTGCCCCTGCTCTTCTCTTCGTCGTTGTTCCTCATCACGAAGCACGTCCTTCTTTGAATAGAACCTAAAAGTGATTACTTCCGGAGGATTACCAAAAGGCGCTGAGTTACGGGCAAAAGTCAGACCTTGGATGGGACTAGAACCCGCATCCCCAGCTTGCCAGACCATGCGTGATGAATAATGCAAACGCCCGGGAAGCGGGATATACGGTTTCGAGCCCTGTCCGAGGTCTAACTTTTGCTCATGACTCAGGTTTACGTGATAGATTTCAGAACGCCCAACATGGCTTGAAACAGCAGTTATCATATGGAAAACAATTCCCAAAAAAAACATTACGAAGGGGCAACTTTTACAGTTACACGAAAAAATCTCAGGCTCACTTTGGTGTCTCCTCATCAGAATCGTCGTTGTCATCTTCACGAATTAATCTTGCCCGTACTCCTTTTTCGACCAGCTTTTGATCATCGTCCAACGGAATCATCCTTGAATGAAACCTTCACTATTTTGAAGAAGCCAAAAGTTGTTCAGAGCAACTAACCCATCACGGCCTTCTCTCCTCATACGCTCCCGTCTTTTCTTCGCCTCATAAACGGCACGAGAGTCGGGAATCTCGGCTAAAAGAAACCTACATTGAGCAGCGATCCATTACCCGTCTTTTGCCAGATACGGCTACCAACTCTTTACCCAAATTTGACACGGTAAGCGCCAAGGTTCTATAAATACCCTGTCTTCAAAGAAGAGGTCAAACGAACGCGAAATTTGTAAAGTTAGACGCTGATCAACACGATAAAGACTAATAAGAAAAAAAACTTACCAGCCTCAGGAAATTTGGACTGAGAGTCAGCTTCCACCTCGTCATCGCTATCGGGTAGAGGTGGTTTTACCTTAACATCTACGGCTTCCAAATAGAACAAGAGCAAAAAGTAGGATTAACAAACTTTGGAGGAGCAGTCTCGGTATTTATCGAGATAGCGGCTTTTGGCATCTCTCCTTTCTCTGTCACGCTCCTTCGTTTTCTCCTTTTCTCGACCTTTCCTCTTCTTCTCTTTTTCTCGTTCGATTTCCTTCTTTCGTTCTTCCTCTGCACGAATTCTCTCCTGTTCAGCTTCTTCTTCAAGTTTCTGAATCCTCTTCAGCTCCTGCACCTTCCTCTTGTTCTTTTTGAGAACGAAATCGGCGTCAGCTCCTGAAAAAGAAGGCTAGAAAGTGATTGGCGGATGAGGCCCCTGCACTGTCCGATTCTCTGCTAAGATCCTGAAAGGACCTTATATCAGCACCTTCGTCGTTGTCAAAACTAAGAAGAGCTGGTGGTTTTGGTACCGGCGGTTCTCCTTCATCGACAGCTGGTTTCGAAACAACGGGCTCCTTCCTTGGAACAGTAGTATCCGCATCATTTCCTTGCTCTTGATTGTCCTCCCAACCATCGAGCCGTTTTCGAGTCGTTCCCTTTACCTTCGGTTTGCGAAACATCTGCAAAACAAATACGAAGTCACTGATCGTATTCAGAAGCGCTTTCTTGAATGAGCAGGACCAACACATGCACCCAACATCTCTTCAATTAACCAGATGATAGCTCCTCAGGAAAACCTAGGTTAAAAGCTGGGCTAATCAAAAATCGAATAGTACGAAAGAAGACAGCTTATGATTCCACAATATGCGATAAGTCTAAACTAAAATATTCTGCAGGTAAAGGTTTGGTGACTAGGAGTTAAAGCACACAAACCAAATTTCATCACAAAAAAGTTAGTTTCCGGGAGGAGAGCAGGACACCAACCGTGCACAGTACAGATTAAGTCCATTAGGAATCTCCTAGTACATCCTTAACAGTATCCAGTGTCAGGAAAATTCCGAAAAACTCAAACTTTGAAAGGAGCACGGAAAAACGAAATATGAAAAAAAGCAAAAAGTTGCAAGCGGCTGCGTCGCGGCATTCGCCCTGGCGCGCGTTAATTGTCATAGCGAGAAAAGATTCAAAGAGGAGAGCACGAGCTGTCCTCAGTAGCGATAGCACAACTCCTTCAAACACTACTCAAGTATTTTTCTAACGTCAAGCACGCGTCCATAGCTTCGCTCAAGAGCGCTTGCCTCGATCTACATTCTGTAGCGGCACACGTGCATCGCAAACAAATTAAGGATATAGCAAAACCTCGTGAATGAGCAGTTCTTCCGCATGACAGGCTACATATAATCACCCATTTACGGACACTACCTATTAGACACACATTGCCTTACGCTGGCTGAAAAAAATCTCAAAAGCGACGTCCATTGCCTCTGAGGAGAAGCCCATGAGACGGATAAGTCGCTAGGTAGGTGTTTGCAGTAAGTTTCCATAGAGAATGGTAGTGCGCACACGTGAAGAGACCAAATGAAAAATAATCGAAAGAATATTGTCCCAAAAACAGATGTGGTCTGGAAATTATGTACCAACTCAAAAGAAGTAAACGAAAAGGAAACATGAGGAGTGTGTCGGGCCACGCCCACCCAGGTCGTGGACCCGACATGTCGGGTCCACGGCCTGGATGGGCGTGGCCCGACAAGTGGTACTCAAAAAGTCATATCACTAAAACAGAATACCTGCAACAACAAACCCATTACTACAGATATCTTACCCCTTGCTCTGTTGAGGACTCTTTACGGTACTTTGCTGCCGCACACAGTGGGAGACAGCGGCATGAAGGAGTCTCAAGATAACTGCCGACCATGAAGACTCTCTCCTTTTTTTCCTCGTACCTTTTCTTACCTCCTTCTCTCTTCCCTCTTCCATAATTTCATACTTTCGAATGCTCGGTCAGAAGATGCGATGAGAAAACACCTTTCGAGCCTGCAGCGGGAGAATGTCCGGCTGACAGAATGCTCGTTACCCTAACGGTAAGTACAGAACATTTCAAAGTGATTCGTATAACATGCTACAATGCAAAGGCCGCGACGCGGCCGCCGTTACTCGGCTCCATTCGGTCGCCATCTATGTTTAGTAGCGTGTGTCAAAGTTACGGCTGATTTTGTTTTGTTTTTCCTTTTTCCTGACAGATAGATATTCATAGTGGCTTTAGTATGATTAATGGTGAGTCCTGCTTCCAAAATTATCAGTGATCACCTTGGTGGAAAAATAATTGGTCCAGGCATGTGTCCTTAGTTTGTACATTTGAAAAGCGTTTGGCTTTTCCTTAGTTAGCTTGTTTTTATTCACGTAAAAATATGAGCGTGAAAACATGTGGAGGTACCAGAAGGTTTCATTGCAGTAGACTACG